AACAACAACAACAACAAATAAAAAAACAATTGTCAGAAGAGTAGTTGTACTGTATAACCAGTATCAGTTGAATATCCTTGGACAAGTAACTTTACCTTCCTAGGATTCGGGTTTTTGTTTGGTTTTGTTTTGTTACTGGGGATTTATCTCACAATTGCTTTACCCCTGAGCTACATTCCCAGACCTTTTTATTTTGAGACAGGGTCTCGTGAAGTGGCTTAGAGTCTCACTAAACTGAAGAAGCTAGCCTGGATCCTCCCTCTTTGGCCTTCCGAGTCGCTGGAACTACAGGTGTGCACCACCACGCCTCATTTAGGGCTCCAGTTCTGAAAGGTGGGATTAGAAAAGGGCATCGCTAAAATCCTTGAGTTTCTGAGAATCCTCTTGGAGCACGTGCCCTACTCTGGGCACCTCGAGGACAAAGCTCTAGGGCCAGTCTGCAAAGGAAGACCCCCTCCTGTAGACTCGGGCCCCTTTGTGATCTCACAGAGCCTGTGCACTTTGGTCTACACTTAGACAAACCGTAAGGCGCAGGGCCTGGACCGCGACTCTCAGAATCGGGCGAAACAGAAACGATCCCACTCCGCCCCCAGGAGTCCCGCCCCGCCCCGATCCCGCCCCGCCTCTCAGAGTCCGTCCCATGCCGCCCCGGCAGGTCACTTACTGAACGCCGATTGGTCACTGGTGCGCACGGCGCCCCGCCGCGCCCCACCAACGCCCTTTCTCCGCCCCCTAGCGTCCTGCTCCGCCTCTCGGGTCTCGCCCCGCCCCCGACAGTCGACTTGCTGCGTGCCGATTGGTCACTGCGGTGCGCACGGCGCCTCGCTCCGCCCCACCGGCGCCCACCCCTAGCGCCGGCCGCAAGGTCCGGGCTCCCGGGGCTGAGGTGGAGCGGGAGGAAGCCGGTCTGCTGCGGCGCAACCTCCTCTTCCCTGCGCGCGCGCCTGGCGTCGGCGTGGTGGCCGGAGGAAGCTGGGTGAGTGCGGTTGGCAGGTCTCAGGCGTCTGGTGAGGGGTACGGGGGAGCTCACTCACGCCTGCTGCCCGAGCGTGGGGAGGTCCCCCCCGCGGGCCCGGCCTGCGAGATGCCGTGGCGCCTCCCGGCCCAGTGTTCCCGGAGCCCGCGGCAGGCTGAGCGGGCCAGCCGAGCACCCGCGAGCCTGCGGGCGGGGCCTTGGTCGCCCCCTCTAGTCCGGCGTCCTCTCCAGCTGACCGTGGCCCTGTTGCCCGGGCAGGCCTCTCCGCCGCGTTCTCACCGACAGGTCGCCTTTCGGGGGAGATTGGAAAGGTGTCCATCTCCTGCCTTTCAGCTTCTCTGGGGATGCGTACTGTCTCCAGGACACTGCCGCAGCCGCGACCCCTCCACGGCCGGAACGAGTGTTGGGGGGCGACTCCAGCCCTTCTGTCCCCTTTCGTTTGCTCTGAACCATTGCTGGGAGTCTGTCAGTGTGTGGTGCACTTTCCTGACTCCATCAGTACGCGAGGCAAGTCCCGAGACGGGGAGGGGGAAATGGAAGAGGAACAAAAGTCTTTTGGGAATTAATCCTAAGTGTTGAGTGTCTTTTAGAGGAGTAGCCGCAGAGCATTGTCACTGTGGCAGTGGCATACTGTAATATTGTTTGGCAACTGACATAATATAAGGACTCATTTCCATATCAGTATGCATACTTCTTTATTTTTTAAAAATGCTGCATAGTATATCACTGTTAAGATATATTCTAATTTTTTTTCTTTTATTTTTTTGGTCTCTTATTCATGTATTTTTTTTGTGTGTGTGTGTGTGTTTTTTAACCAGTAAGTTGGCTTCCGAGTTAACCACTGGAAGGTACTTAAACCTGAAAGGTGAATATTTCACCTTTGGTGATATATCGTACCAAAGCAGTGAGATGGACCGTGCTCGCGTTTTCCCTGCTGCTGCGAGGGGAAGAGGGGGCGCGGGAATTCAAGCCTCGACTGTGTGTATAAGCATTCTCTCTCTCAAAACACCTCTTCTCTCAAACTCTTCACTCTACTTGTACTGGAAATCCCTTTTCTGGGCAATTCCAGAGACTTACTGCCAGGCTTGTCATCCTTTTTCATCATCTTCAATCTCTTATTTGTCTTGTCTTTCAAAGCTGAATAAGTTTCAAATATTGAACATTTTAAACGAGCATAGGGTTGAAAGTCGCCTCGATCTTCAAATGAAAACCAAAAGTTATTTTCAATATTGACGCACAGGAAAAGCAGATTTAATTAGACCGAGGTGAGGATGTATTTTTCCACTTCCAGAGACACACCCTTCCCACCTCCCCATTCCTCTTATACCAAATAACATGGTAGCAGCGTTAACTGCCAGGTCTCTTCTGGGGCCCAAGGAAAGAATTTGTTTTATTTTATCCTTATTTGCTTTTTGAAATGATAAAATTGACATTGAGGTGTAAAACAATTTAAACATTAAGTATAAATAAAAATTTAATATTAAGTATAAATAAAAATTTCAAACAGCATAGAAGTACATCAAATAAGAATTCACCCTTCATATCCCCAATTCCACTTTCCAGGAGGGAGTCATACTAAAATATTGTTTGGCAACTGACATAATATAAGGACTCATTTCCATATCAGTATGTATAATACTTTATTTTTTAAAAATGCTGCATAGTATATCACTATTAAGATATATTCTAATTTTTTTCTTTTATTTTTTGGTCTCTTATTCATGTATTTTTTGGGCCTTGTGCATGTGTGAGGCAAGCACTCTACCAACCGAGCTATATTCCCAGCCTTCATGGATGGTTGGTTGTTTTATTAGAAACCTTCTGTGAAAAATCCTTTTGGCATTGTAGGATAAGTTTCAAGTAGATACTGTAAACTGATTATTGTACTTTTTAGTATAATTTTATTTCTGAAGGAAACTTTAATAACTTTCAAGGTTTTATAATTTAAAAGCAGTAGTTAAGTCTATGTGAGTTAAATGCATTTCTTAGAATCTTTGTGTTCTTTTGTATTTAGAGATTGCATCAGAAAAAACTTTGAGTACTGTGTTAAATAATGGCAAATTTATTAGCCTTGCTACCACTGACTGGTGTTGACAGTAAGGTTCATTTGATCAGCTTGGCAAGAGTGAATAGAGGGGTCTTCCAGGGAGGGAAAATGTGAACTGACATTTTGTCTACATGTATCTTGTGGCAATCCTCTTCAGTTGCTAACAATAACAGAAATAATTGTTCTTTTTAAAAATATATTTGTTATTGGAAAATGTATTTCAAGTACTAAAATGTATATAATTATAAAAACACTTTTGCACTGATCACCATTATATCTGCTACCATATTAAAGAGAAAACATTTGCATTTTTCTTCAGAGGTAGCCTCTATTCTGATTTTTGTGTTAATCTTTCTTGTTTTTTAATATAAGTTTTACATATATACATATATGTAAATGCACATGCTTATATTCATATAAACATAAATGTGCATGTATATGTATACATAAATGCACATGCATACATCCATGTATATTCTAAATAGTATAGGTTTTTTTTTTTTTTTGGTTCTTGGGGGTTGAATCCAGGGGTGCTTAACCACATCCTCAGCCCCCCTTTTTTTTTATATTTTACTAGAGAGTGGGTCTGGATGAATTGTTAAGTGCCTCATTAAGTTGCTGAGACTGGCTTTGAACTTGTAATCCTCCTGCCTCAGTTTCCCAGCCACTGGGATTATAGACATGCCAATGCACCTGGTGTATCATTAGTTTTGAATGAATAGTGTTAAAAAAAAACTCTCATTATGAGCATGTTTCAAAATTTAATTTAGCTGTTAGTAAGAGTTAAATTTAAGAGGTGGTTTTAAGAGGATTAAAGGAATAAATATTAAGTCCCTTGGGAAAGGAATGTCCATAGAATTACTAATTAGATATAACAGGTTAATGTTCTACAGGGCAACAAAATCACAATGTTTTGGGATCAGTTTTCTCCACCAGGCTATAAAATCATAATAGCTTATTAATTTCTGCAGGGAGGTTAGAGTGACTTATTAATAGTGGATTGTTCATTAAACAAACTATGATAACAAAGTTACATTTCCCAGAGTACAAATGAAGTCCAATCAGGCTTATTAGAAAATGGTATAGCTTCCTAAATTTGGGGTTAAATTTTTGATTTATAATAATAAATTCAAACTTTCCTGAGGGAACAGTATTGTCATTATTAGATAAAAGAAAAGAATGAGCTGAAGAGAATGGCTTCAGCTTCCCTGACTTATAGGGGCACTTTCTGAGGAAGTTGGGGTTTGAATTATGAGGGAGTCCTAGGAAACAGAGTTCACCCCAGTCAGGGCATCTGGAGTGCTCTAGTGTGGACCAAGTAGTGGAAGGACAGCAGAAGGAGTAGTCTGCTCTGCATTTGTTTTATAGCTCACCATGGCCTACCTGAGTTATCAGGGCTAGTCAAACTGCACCTGTGTGGGGGGAAGTGACTGGCCATTGCTGGTGCAGCTTGCAGGCTGCAGGAAAGGAGGAACTGCATTAGCATGTGCTCAAGATCAAGCCAACCCTGCCCAGTACAGACAGGAATCTGGGCCATGTTCAGGGGCATGCAGTCCTCAAGTTAAAAGCTTCCAGAGCAGCCAGGACATTGCACTGCTTCCATCTGACCTGATTATTCTCTGATTCTGGGGCACAGCTGGGATTCTCTTTAGCCCTCCTGTGTTGGGTCTTCCTGTGTCCTGTATTTTTAAGTTTTACTTATTTATTTTTTATTGATTTACTCTCTCTAGTAGAGCTCAAACTCTACCAGCATCTTGACAAGAAGTTACATATTTTTGGCACCTTTGCATCGAAGAATATGATTTGAGCTATCCTCATACTTGATCGATATTTTGGAGGGCAAAAAAATTTTTGGTGGTAGTAATTTTTCTCCAGAGTTTGGAAGTTATTGTTTGGTTGTAATATTGCTTCTAGGTTGCTGTTGAGAATTCCAGGCCAGTATTATTCCTGAATCCTTTGTGACTCATTTTTGTTTTTGTTTTTCCTGTATAGAATCCACATTTTGATATTCACGTGTGTGTGTGTGTGTGTGTGTGTGTGTGTGTGTGTGTGTGTGTACCTACCTGGGGATTGAACTCAGCGGCACTCAACTACTGAGTCATATCCCTAGTCCTATATTGTATCTTATTAGAGATAGGGTCTTATTCAATTGCTTAGCGCCTCACTAAATGCTAAATCTGCTTTGAACTTCAGGATCCTCCTGCCTTAGCCTCCTGAGCCACTGGGATTACAATTGGGCTCAGTGCCTTGATGTCTGTGTTTTGAAACTTAAAATGATGCATGGGTCTCTTTTCATCCATTAGGTGAGATAGATATTCAATGGACCCTTTAAATACTGGAAACAGACCACCTCTTCTGGGGAAACATTCTTGAAATATTTTGTTGATTATTTTTTTTCCTTGTATTTTCTCTTTGGAAATACTTTGTCATTTATTTTATTTTCTTTTTTTCCAGTTTTTTTTAAAAATTGTACTTTGTCATTTATATGTGAGCTTTTTGTAATAGTCTTCTAATTTCTTAACCTGTTTTTTTTCTCTATTTACTGCTGTATTTTCTTTCTTTATTTTAATATTTATTTATTTTTTAGGTATAGATGGACACAACACAATGCCTTTATTTTTACGTGGTGCTGAGGATCGAACCCGGGTCCCGCCTGTGCTAGGCGAGCGTTCTACCACTGAGCCACAATTCCATCCCTACTACTATATTTTCTTAACTCTTATTTTCTCTTTCTGTTTGGATTTTAAAAAAAAGTTTGCACTGTCTTGTTTTAAATTCCAAAGGTATTGTTTTTAGTCTCAATGTTTCTTAGGATAACATTGTTTCTTTTCCCTGAGGTTAAAGTTATTTAAGTTTTCTCTTCCTGCATGATTTGTTCCAAGCTGCTTTATTATTATTATTATTATTATTATTATTATTATTTTTTAATCATTCCTAGGGATTGATCCCAGGG